TTATTATAATAGTTATTGTTATTACTATTATTACGAATATTGTTATTATAACTATCATGGTTATTACTATTTGTCGGCTTTATGAAAATAATAAACGTTTGAAAACGTACATTGTACCGAAAGTTATAAGCATTTACTGTTTAGAAAAATTCAGAATAAAACAATATTTTATTCAATTTCCACTTTTTTTGAACTGCTCATGTAACTGATCATTTTTTAGAGCGTATAATTAAAATAAAATTAAAGCTTTTTTTTCTGAGAAAAGTAAAAATGCTAAGATCATAATAAGTAACGTTTAATTTTTTTTTTATCATAATTTTTCATAAAAGGATATTACAAACTGCATCTAAAAAAGAAAACCAATATTAGATCGTTTTTATTAAGCTCGAATCATCTCCGAATGCGAGATATAAGAAAAACAGAGATCAGTTCGACTGTTTCCAAATTAATCAAATACAATTTCGGGAATAAAATTTTTTTGCAAAGCGACATGGAAAAAGGGTATTTCCGAGTGCCGAGTATCTCAAGTTGAAAATCTTTTATCGGAAAAAAGAAGAATATAAGAGACGCGTTGAAAAAAAGGATACTATCTCGATTTAAAATTTTAAATGCTATCGTAAAAGTAAGCTAAAATTTTAGCATGTAAGTAAGTGAAGAAAATCAACTTCCGAGAAGGTATAGGTATCATCATTTTCTCAAAAATCGGGATCGTATCTATTTTTCCGCCAGAGCATCAATTACATGAGATCCGCTTTCTGCAATTTATATGCAAGTACTGGGAAAAAAAAAAAAAAAAAAAAACAAAAAGTATAAGGTTTATTTATTTGACAAGATTCGTGAGATTTATATTGTTTTAATCGACGCTAGTGAACTCAATTCTTACGACATATTTAATTTCGGAATCGTGTCTCGGCTTACAGCGAATTCGAGTCAATAGGGGATGCGTCGCGCACGACCAAGGCAACAAATACATAAGCGCATTTCAATTCGCATCGACATCAGCAGAGAGAGAGACCTATAGCTTACATAATATTACGCGCAAAATGTATGCCTGACAACAAGTGGCTTCATCCACTCGTGTGTACGTGCGTGGTGTACGCAAGACGGTCTCGCGTATATGAGTTCGTAACGTAGAAATCCACGGTCTTGGATTAATTGCGGAATCCTTGCTTTTGGAGTTGCGAGTCCAACGTGTACGGTACACGTGAATTGAGTAGACGTTTCACGTGGCTCTTTTGGTTTTCGTAATTTATACAGCTAAACAAATATTTGGGATGAGATGAGAGGCTATCTTGTTTCGTTGTGTCGGTGATGTATATATTTTTCTTCTTCTTTCTTCTCATTTACTTTATTTGGTCGATTTTGTTTGTCATCTTGATTTGCATTATCGGAAGAACTCGCGGTAAAAATAAAAAACAATACTGCGTTAATGGCGTGTTTTCATTGTACCGCCAAACTCGGTCAAAAATAAATTTACAATGTCGGCTCAAAAAGCAATCCAGAGTGCTTGAAATAACCTTTAATTTCAACTCTGCCAAAGTGAAAAGTGCTGTCGCGTGATGGATTGCTCAAGGGTACGATGGGAATTAATAATGGCACTCGATGAATTGGTAAAATTATCACGTCTTGGACCTCAAATTAAACCGCCTAGGAAATAATTTCTACAATCCGGTATTCTATTTATTTGCAGGTCATGTGAATAATTTAAATGTAAAACGATGAAATGTAATAAGCTTTGTATTTTATTTTTTCGGTTATTCAGCATACGAGATATTTTGCAATATTCGGGGGTAAGCCGATTACAAATGACAAGTAATGCTGCTACTTTGGGACTCGAATCAGCCACTTTTATTATTTATTTGAAAGCAAACAAAGAAATGAGATAAGCAATGAGTGAACAAATAAAAAAAATTATGGAAAATATTTGTCAGTGAAAGCGCGAGCACGCAATTCCATGCACGCGCGAGGATGGGTGCTGAAACGCGAAAAGTACAAATGAATAACCTACGCGAGCGCAGTGAGCAATTACGCACATTAAGGTGTTCCGCGAAGTGCTCGACAAAAAAAAAAAAAAAAAAAAAAAAAAAAAAATGAAAAAAGAGCAGTGTCGAGCGTGCAATAGAAATGCTTAAAGTTTGAACACAAAAGGCGTGGCAGCGCACGCGATTGTGGGCAAAAGGAAAATAACTCAGACTCGAGCAGAGATACGTTTTTGTATAAATATATACCCTTGAAGGGTTAATATTTTTTTCTCAAATAACTGAAGTACACGCCCTACTAAATTGCTACTGTTACAAATTTGCCTTTTTTCCCGCATTAGCCGAAAATTCGCGTAATATAACTCTATACCAAAATAAAGCAATTTATTGTATCTCAAAGTAATCACAAAGCTATCATGTGTATGTTATTGAGATAAGAGAACACAAGCGTATGTGCGTGTAATGGTAATGAACTTTTCATTAAAATCCACGTGGAGTAACATGATCCAGAAGCGTTGAAAAGGCAAAAAAAGAGGGATATTATCACTTTATTTACCCGAGACGAAGACGACGACAGCGTTACTCCTTATCCGACATTTAATCCGATTCACTCGTTCTCTCTGCAATTGCCTAGATTTACTTATAATAATTGCCTCGTGACTACAGTTTTACTCGGTCGAACTATCATACGTAATACTTTGTGAAAAAAAGGTTGTTTTTTTTTCAGACAAATGCTCGAGAATTTTTCATTTTTAACGAGTGGTACACTTTAGCGGATCTTTTCCTTGCAGTGAACTTAATTTCTTCTTTCCGTACTTTATTACGATCCGTACATAAAAAGTGGGAAAATATGGTTCTGCTTCCGAGAACATGACACGAGTAAAAATAAAAGAAAAAAAAAGATGTAATGGATAGGTATACATACATCTATCTTATTACATCTAATATTATATTTACGTGAAATGAATTTTATTAAATGTTTTAAAGCACCGCTTGTTGGAGAAATCACGAGTCGCTTGCTTGTGTAATAAATCAACATACGAAACATCATCGCAAAAACTCGAGATACTATCAATTAAGCCGCAAGTCGATTCCTCGTAATATCAGCAACAAACCTGGGTCCACTAACACTTATGAGTAATGCAAAATTTTCGGCTTGTCCGTAATATGTTTAGTTGCCACCGTGTTTCGCGAGGCATGAAAACGTAAATGTTTACTTTGAGGATCACGAAAGGAGACTTTGGTGGACTAACTAAATTTATTATCATTGTTGAGAGTATTTAATGGAATAAGAGCACACGTGCGCACTTACTCGATAAATTTATTTGATAAAGCTAGTGCCCAAGCGAGCGGAACATTGCTTTGATGGCTGAAATTTGATTACAGTTTACAATGCACGTTCTTTGTACACTTAGTGGTTTATTAATAATTAATATTTTATTAAATTAAAATTTTCTTTTTTCAATTACGAATTTCTCATTTAGTTTTTTTTGGAATCGACTAAATTTGTTTCAATTAAAAGAAAATATTTAACGGAATGAGGGTAAAGAAATTTTCTTTGATTCAAAGAATTGGGTCGCTCAGTGATGCACAAGTGAGCTCACGCCTATACTTGTATTTTTCTTTTTTTTTTTTTACTTAAATTCTCGCTCCAAGCGCTCTCTTTTTCTCCCTCTCCTTCCGGAACATCAGTCAAGCTCACGGGTCGTACACATATATATATATATTTATGTGCGCGTGTACGGGTGCACCCTGTGTACTCACGGTTTTTCCCTTTTTGCGGGCCTTGTCGAGCACCGAGCGGAACCACTGCCACTGGTTCTCCGGGTCCGTGCCGGTGGTTACCGCCGCCACTCTTGCCCCGAGGCTCGCCCCGCTTCCCGTGGCCCTCTGGCTGGGTGCCCGGCTCTCGANAATACAATTTCGGGAATAAAATTTTTTTGCAAAGCGACATGGAAAAAGGGTATTTCCGAGTGCCGAGTATCTCAAGTTGAAAATCTTTTATCGGAAAAAAGAAGAATATAAGAGACGCGTTGAAAAAAAGGATACTATCTCGATTTAAAATTTTAAATGCTATCGTAAAAGTAAGCTAAAATTTTAGCATGTAAGTAAGTGAAGAAAATCAACTTCCGAGAAGGTATAGGTATCATCATTTTCTCAAAAATCGGGATCGTATCTATTTTTCCGCCAGAGCATCAATTACATGAGATCCGCTTTCTGCAATTTATATGCAAGTACTGGGAAAAAAAAAAAAAAAAAAAAAAAAACATGCATGGATTGCCAAAGATGTACGGGTTCATGCAATAACAAAAGATCAAAATTATATATCTTAGACAGACACTTACCAATTCGTATAAATATATACGTAGGTATGTGCTCGAAAACCAAGGGAGCAACAGATATTTTTTTTTCCAAACCCACGACTAAGCCTCGATTCTTACTGAAGTCGTCGCACCGCCTCCCTCACCACCATTACCACCCGGAACATCTGTACCACCTTCATCACTCTCATCCACCACTTGCACTACCACTGCCAACACCGAAAAACAAAAAAAACAAAAATTGTCAACGGACTCCCATGATCACATAACGCTTCCATCACGATAAAATAGCAGCATCAGCAGCACCGCGAATTTGTCGCTCAAAGACCAAACGACCATCATCCCGTCGGGGAATCAGTCGGCAGAGTTTTGCACCCCTTCGACGCGACAACGGCCGACAGGAGACTACTCCTACACCACCACCACTACAACTACAACTGCTATCGTGTACACCTGGTCTGCGCGCGGCGCTCCTCCCGGTTCGGCTGGTTGGCGCTACACGCTACTATACTCTTCGTACTACTGACCGATCTGCGGGAGGGACCATCACGGTGGTGGTGGTGCCGGGACGACATCGGCGGCTGCGCCCTTCGATCCCCTGTTCCTCCGAGCCAGTGACCTCATCCTCCGTCTCCACCCACTATCCTTTTCCCAACGTTCCTCCCTCCTCCTCGCCCTCTCGATCGCGGGGTACCCTGCGTGCTTCGACCCGACCAGCTGAAAGACTCCTCGTATGATTCATACTGTCCTTTTCTTCTCTGGCTCCTCCCGCGCCTCTGAAATTCCATCCGGCGAGTCCCAGAGCTGATGCTCTACCACTGATGTGCAACAAATAGTTTGCTCATCGGTTTTCAGAAAAAATCCCAGCTCTTCCATCCGTCTCTACTGATATATAATCTTTTATATGCATAACCACGGAATAAAACAAGAATAAGGCGCGGCAGCCTGAGGGGTAATCGGGGGGGGGGGGGAAGTACGTATACCTACCTGCGGCTTGATTTACTAAGAAACGTGAGCGTGTGTTTTCGTTTACCACTTTATATATTTGTACGATTTACAATTTAGGCTTTTTTTTCGCCAATGATAATACCTATTCCTTTCGACTCTTTGGAAATGGAAATGGCAACGAGTACATGCAGATAGGTACGGACTCCTTTTTGCTCCTTCATCCCTTTTTTCACTTCTTTGGATGAGGGCTATAGACTCGTTACGCCTCTGATATCTGCGACAAAACGCCGTTGGAATTTTTTGCTCTGCTGTGCATGGCTGCTCTTTCGCTGTGTACCTTTTACTTTTGGAGAAAGGAATATTGGAGGCTTTTTTTCGGATAAAAACGAAAAAATACCCGAAATGCTTGGTAAAAGTCACCGTTAACAAAAAAAAAAAAAAAAAAAGAAAAAATCCAACGACTATCATTGTCATACGCTATTCGATGGAAAAAATCAAACGACTCGTGACACCAACTGTCAGGATTAGTATGTGCCGGCGTAAAAGTTATTCGCAACTTTGACGCATCCGTGACACCTGTAGTTACCTATGACGCCCTGCATCTCCAGAGAAAATGATTGTGCTCGATAGATCCCCTCTGTTCGTGTACACCCATTCGTTTGCTCTCACCTACATTTTGTGGACAATAACTGGTCGGGACGCAGCAAGGGGCTGAAAACCCTTCATTAACCAAATACAACGTTAATTATCAATGAGAAACAATGAAAACCTACTCAGATACAAGGAGAGGGAATCAGCATCGAAGTATCGGGGCCCGTGCTAATTAGAACACACAATTTCTCGTTATTGTCTCGGGTTGCATCTGTCTGTCTACTTGTGTCCAATGTGACAAAAAATATTCATCACAGGCCTCATTTGCTAGCATAGATTGTACACTTACTGTGTACAAAAAAAATTTTTCGATTATAAATAACTACGTACAGTGAACTTTAAAAGCTTTAACTTTTGTGAATAAAATTTTTTACAAAACAAATTTTGAATGTCATAACTGTTTTTTGTTGAATTTGAGCTTATAAAACTTATTTAAATTATGGTTTTATTTGTTGAAAAATATTCTAGACTGCCCAAAATTTTCCAATAATTTTTTACAATTGGTATTTAAAGATCCAAGTATAAAAAACTAAATGTAAAATGTGATGTACAAAATAAAAGCTCATTTTTATGTATGCTAAATAGTTGTTGATAGTGGGAAATTATGTTTTTTTAAGCTTCACATAATACTCTCGTAATAATTAATTAATTTTTATTCAATATTATTAACATTTTTTTCTCTGACTGTAAACAAACATACATAATGTATCATAAATCGTATAACATCCTATTACGAAAATAAAATAAATATTGACATTCACGAAATATTATTAATATTAAAACAGCACACAAATTAAAAAGTTTTTCAAAAGCAATTTAAAGAAGATCCAATTTCATGGAAAAAGCAGTTGTATTGCTTACAGAAAGATCAAATATGATTAGTCCGATGTAGCTGAAACGTGCATAAACATAATTATTGTTAGAAGAATTAAATTTATTTATTTTATAAGAAAAATTTGATTCTATAAGTTATCAATAATACATTTCAACAAAAAATAGCCCATAAAATTAAACTGATTAATGGGAGAGAAATTTGAGTTTATATCAAAGCAATATCATTACCAGGTCCTTTAATTTTGTATTGTTCTTTTAGCCATGTGTATACTTTATCAGAGTATTTTTCAAACCACTCTAAGTTATTCTGAGCAGTCTTGACAGCTGATTCCAAAGATTTTTTAACATGTGATAATTTCTCGTCATGTAATGATTTTCGTAGCTAACAGACAAAAATTTGAAAAATTATCAATTTTTTTGAAACTAATTTTTAAAAAATGTGTATCTGTTCTACTAACATCTTCAATTTGTTTATTTGTTGAGATGTGAGCAGCCAAACTGGTAAATAAACCTCCAACATCACTCCAGTTTTCATAACTATATTTGTAAATGGATTAATTAACTGAATACTTTCTTTTATTACAGAAAAAAGTTGTGACTTACTAGTTGTGAAGTTTTTCAGCGTTATTTTTGAAGTATTTTAAAGCTGTTTCCAGACCAATTTGACTAGACGTGTAAATGGATGAGACTACTGTCTGAAAATCTTGTCTTCGAATCTTTGAATCTTGATCCAAGGCATGATCTAGGAACCTAATTAAAAGTTAAATTTTACAAGTATCTCTATCCTGAAGTAATTTATTGTATACACTTTTCACGATAATTACCTTTCAAGAATGGTGGGATCTTTGGAACAAGCAAGACTTTTAAGAATCGTGATATAATCTGATGCCAAGATGGAATTCAAAAATTTTTTCCACAAATATTTCCAGTCATTGGTGTTGCCATGTTCTATAGCAGTGCAATAAACGGCTGCTGCAATGTTTGGCGTGATACTAAAATAGAAAATGTGTCAGGATTGACAGTATGGATCATAAGATCTATAATAATCAAAAAATCCCACTTCAATCGAATATTACCTTTCGTTTTTAAAATATTCTTTCGATTGCTTAATGCAATCTTCGTTTCCATATTTACAGGCATAAGTCAAAACTAATTCACGAGTCAATTGATCCAAGTGATCATCTTTACTTGTATTTTCTTTGAATCCCAACGTTTTATATGCATTAGAAATTAAATTTAAGATGTGTTGAATGAAAAGGTTCTTAATTTTAGGTTGACCTTCAATCCTTTGGCTTAAATAAGCCACAGAATTGAAAAATGCTCTCCAGGAATAGTAATTTGTTTCTCGTGATAAATACTTTGTAGCGTTGAGAGCAATTTCGTATTCGATGTAGCCAGCCCTTGCCAAATTTAGAGTGTCATCTAATATTTGAGCTCGATTGAGTTCACTTATTAATGTGTACCGATCGCTATTTAGTACTTTAACTAACTTTTCCCAATTATCATTGTCGTAATTAACGCGATAGTAACCAACTTCTTCAATATTAACTACAAACCACGAATCCTCAGACTTAATCGTCACATTCTTTTTATCTTTACCCAGCCAAAATCTTGGTTTCGCTCCAACAAAATTGTTTTCAGTTTCGGTTGTATATGTTATAGGGGTCCAATACACTTGCCTTCTTAAAGAATCATTATTTGATGATATTAAAAAGCGCTCCTATTGAAGAGAAAAAGGCAAACTTTTAGTGTGATTATCATTGCCCTCTTGTATACGCGTTCTATTGTAATTGATCAGCGAGCATGTATTAAGAGGATTACAAATATGTAATAGCGATGGAAATAATTATTATTATTATTATTATTCCTTCAATTTCTTTGCTTAATCAATTAATTTTGGCACCTACGCCATTTTATGTGTTTTATTAACTGGTTTGTACAATAAACAGTTCAGTATCTTGACTAAATACATGAATTAAAATTTTTTAAAATAGTTATTCATAATTTACCTGATAAAATTCAATACGATCCCCCCGTCGTTTCGCAATAACAACTGGATATCCTCCTTGAGTGATCCAGCTCTGTATAATAGTAGTCACATTCTCTGTTGGATCTCCCGTAATTGATTTATTGTTAGTTTTGTAATAATTCTGAAACTCTTCGATAAGATGTTCTGAACGTGTATTCCGGTATTGATTTTTTTCCAAATATTTTTGCAGCACTGTGAAAAAAACTTCTTCACTAAAGCTGTTACTAAACATCCTAAGTACACTCGCGGCTGAAATTATTAATTTTTAATAAGAACGATTTAAAAACGATGGTAAATTGTAAAAATATTCTCTACATTTTTTATATGCAATATTATCAAATGCCTCTTTTATATCCTTTGGCCTGAGCACATGGTTGTTCATGGGGTGTGAAGATTCCACTGAATCTGCATCCAATGCAATTTGTAAATCGGTGACTACGAATTGTTTTAATAATTTCCACGTGCTTTCACTCTAATTATAAAAAAGTAAAGTTTTAATGTAAAATAAATATAGTTGTGTTATAATATCTGTACTATAAATACGATACTTCATTGCTGATGATGTGAGATAAATATTGAGCAAATCCTTCGTTAAGCCAAGTGTAGTCCCACCATTCGAGAGTAACTAAATTGCCAAACCACATATGAACTAATTCGTGAGATATAACAGTGTTAACGTATCTTCTATAAGCTGCAGATATTTTATTAACATCGTACGCCAGTCCATATTCTCTGTTCACAGAATTTTGTCATTTATTGATCGATTTAAAATAGGAATGTTATTTACATTGTTGTTTAATAGATGTTTTGAGCAAAACCATACCTAAATGTCGGGAGGCCCCAGTTTTCCATTGCTCCACTATCGAAATCAGGAACAGATACAAAATTCATTTCTGGCATTGAATATTTAACTCCCAATTTTTCCTCTAAAAGTTTCAAAGCTAAATGGCCAGTAGCAGATGCATATGTGCAGTAATCTTTTAATTCCTCTCTTGTCCATACTGTTACGTTTGAATTTTCAGCTGTTTCTGATACGAAATCGGATACAACGAATGCTACGAGGTAAGATGACATCATTTTAGTTTCTTCGTATTTATCCCAGACTCGATCAGATTTTTTGCTAAAAATCATTACAACATTATAATTTTCCATACATAATGTGTACACTTTGCTGAATAAAAAATTTCATACGCTTACTCTTTTTCTTGCATAGGTTTTGAACCCATGTTACTTAGTGTATGATAACCGTTTGGTTTAGCAATGTTTATTTCAAATTTAGCTTTGAATGACGGTTCGTCAAAACATGGAAAAGCACTTCTTGCGTAAGTCGGCTCAAATTGTGTAGCAGCAATCCATCTTAAAAAAATTTTTTAATCTTAAACATCTTTTATTTTTATACTATATTTATAATGGATTAAATTATCAAATAAAAATTTGTTACTCATTAGAATATAAGCATTTAAACAGATTTCGCATTTTTATTAACATACTTTGTGTTTCCATTTTTATCGATGTAGCTACTCTTGTAAAGGCCTTTCATATCATGTCTTAGTTGTCCAACATATTCAAATGATAATGTTACCATTGTATTGGCAACGATTTCGTCTTTTAAATAAATAAATAACTGCTGCGTTAATTCGTTGTATTGTGTATTAGACAATTGGATGATAGTATCATTTAGAGTGATTTTAATCACCCCAAGTTTGTGCATATTAATTACTATCCTGTTAGTGCGTTCTTGAACATTGATTTCAATTGTAACTTTTCCATCAAATGTAAAGTTACGCTCCTCAAAATATGGAGTTACGTAGATAATATATTTTGTTGGTGTAAGAGATTTTGGCAACCGATAATTAGTGACTGTCATATCCATCAATTTAAGAATCTGTATAAATTTATCATTATACCATTTTTGTTCATATAAAGAATTAACTAAATATATCTGAGAAGACTTTGCAATTGACGGCATTTTGTTGAATCCATACTCAATAAAACTTTCAAACTGGAATAAAATACAAAAGTTTTAGTTTTTAGTTTTATTTTTTTAGTTTGAAAATTATTTTGTGATATTTTATAATCATTCCCCTATTAAACAAAGAAAGTTTTGTATTAAAATTTGTTTTAAACTTTTTACCTTTTCAATAAGTTTCGCTGTTGATAATCGTTTGGATAAGGTGCTAGTAATAGATTTTGTCACGCTGTCACCATTAAAACTTAATTGAAAAATAAGATTTTTTGATCACGTAAAAATTAATTAAATACGTTCTCAGTGATGTAAATATGATTAAAACTTACTATTTATTCATTCTATCGTGGTTTTCTTTAATAAAATCCAAAGCCGTTTCAACTCCTGTAAGACCACCATCGATAACATACGAAAACACCTTCTGAGCGTCTTGTAATCTTACGTATGATCCTTCTTTTATGACATCATTTAAAAGACTGAACATTAAAAAAAATTATAAAAATATTGTACCTAATCTACAACTATTTATGAAATGCAAATATTAAATTAACATACAGTTTCAAGTTATCTTTAGTTTTAGAACACCCAAGTGCTGTTAAAATGTTTATTTTCTCTGTAGCAAAATTAGATTCTTCGAGTTTTTTTTTCAAGTAATTCCAGTCATCTTGATTTCCATGTCTAATGGCAGTGCAATAAGCAAAAGTTTTCTGGTTTGGTGGAATTTCATAGCTGAACAATAAAAAAACTGTGATATAAACTGTTTTCTACTTATCATTCATATTAATCACTGATAAAAATGTTTAAAAAAATTTTTTTGCTGTTAATAAACATAATATGACATTAGGAAGAGTAGTACAATTTTTCCGAGACGTGATTTTATAGCTGATCTGAAATCATAGGTGGCGATCACCAAACATGTACTATTTGACAAGCTTTTAGTACACTACTGGCTTGTTTATAAAAGAATCAAGGATATATATTAAGGGAATATCAGATAATATTTTTAAAAATTTCCACTGAGGAATAGAAAAATTACCTAAAATTTTTATTTGCTCGTATTCATTGGCAGATAGTATGAACTGTTCAGTAACTTTCATACAATTGGTCTTACATTAATGTAGCAGATTTTTTAATGATAAAGCAGCTGCAAGTGTTTTATGCAGAAACATTACATAGGTTTATAAATAAAAAAAAAAGCGGCCAAATATTTATTTTTTTTTTTTTGTAATAAAATAATCTCAATAATCTCAGCTTGTTTTCAAAATGAAAGTTTATCATCTAATATGATAAAAAAAGGAAAAACTAGATCTTACTCTGATTCATTACGTTGCCTTTTGAATAAGTCCTTTGCCTTTTGAATGCACTTTTTCTCGTCCAAAGAACACATCCATTCAAGAACGAGTTTCCTCAACAGTATATCAGTATGTTTATCATTTTCATTGTCATCGAATTTCAATTTTTCGAAGTTTGGTTGTAGTAAGTCAATTATGTATTTCTGCATAAATTTGTAAAAATATATTAGTAATGTAACATGAGAAACTTAACTTGCTGTGAGAAGTACTCATTGACTTTACTCTATAAGCATTGTAAACAGTTGGTCGTCCAGCGAATCGTTTTGCTAGGTAAGAAAAGCCAGTTTTAGCTGCTTTCCACGGCACGTATTCTGTTTCATGACGCAAATATTTAACTCCCGCGAAAAGTATGTCATAATCCAACTGATAGGCACGTGCCAGATTAAATAAATCATCTATAATCATAGCGCGATTGATCTCATGGATGCAAGTAAAATTGTCTGAATCCAGAACACTAAATATTCGTCGCCACGCAGCTTCATCATAATTGACTCTGTAGAATCCTTAAACATAATTTATACGTGTGAGGAATTTGTGTTATTTGTTTCTGAGTCACGTATAAACTTACCCGTTTGTTGAACATTGAAGATCAACCAGCCCTTATCTGCATTGGGAATAGTCAAATCTGCACTTTTTTCTTTAAACCACATTCTAACATTTTTCGTGTCATTAAAATTTGGAGTCTCATCAGTGGCGTAAGTAATTGGTACCAGGTATGTGAATGATGCATACTTGTTAGGATCGCTTTTTGGTTTTATGAAAAATCTAGTTTGCGTCAATGCTACATTATTTCTTTTCACATACACATTTATGACTGGAAAACCAGATTGTGTGGTCCAATTTGTTAATAGCTCCTTGACATCAAAATTACTTATAGCCTCTTTTTCGAATGCAGAGAATAATGATGATGGCTCCGTGACGGAAAATTGACTGTAAAAAAATTGTATTTTTTTTGAACAGGAAAAAATGATGCACTCAGATCTTTTTGTACACTTATAACTCACAAAGTTTCTAGGTATCTTTTTAAAGCACTGTAAAACTTTTCGGATCCAACTAACTTTTCCAACATCCTTATTATACTAGCAGCCTTAGCGTAAGATATCGTATCGAACATAGCTCTAATATCGGCCGGAGCATATACTTTGTACGTAATTGGATGTGTACTTTGTAATCCATCAGTTGCAAGAGACTTATGCAAGTGATCAACTACAAACTGAGCTTCTAAATTCCATGAACTTTCGTCCTGGTAATTAAACATTTTTGCATAAATTAAGTTTTTTAAAATATTTTTTTACAAATTTTTTATTAATTAACACTTATTTTTTAGAAAGTGCTCATTAAAAGTACGTTGCGATCAAACAATAATTTAAATACACACCATTGTATACTGGAAGTACTGGAAGTAGCGGGCAAAACCTTCACTAAGCCACACATAGTCCCATCTGGCTGGACTGACTAGATTACCAAACCACTGATGTGCAATTTCGTGTGCAATGACGTTACGAATTGATTGTTTAGCAACCAGTGATGACATCTCATGTTTATCATACAGCATATTTGTCTCTCGAAATGTTATTAATCCAATATTTTCCATCGCACCTTATACATATGAAATCAGGGAAAAATATCGTATTTTTCGGTGGCGAAAAATAAAAATTTTATACGTAGCTTAAGGCAAAAGTATATTTATAATTATCTCTTGGGTGCTTACCTGATGAAAAGTCTGGTAGCGCAACCATGTCAAGTTTGTTGAAATGATACTTGACTTGGAATCGTTTTTCAAAGTCTGTAACGATTGGCTTCATCACGCTTACAGCGTAAGCCGATTGATTGACTACTGGTGGATTTGCCCATACTTTATACTTTCCATCAGTGTCATTAAATTTCTTATCTGCAAAGTCGCTTACCACTACTGCTACAAGATAGGTTGACATTATTGGAGTTGTCTCAAACTCCCAAATGTTTCTGCAATGTAATAGCAAAAGTAAGCTTTTGTTCTATTTCCAAAAATTTATTTATCTTACTATCTTACTTTTCTATTCGTTTCACATTTGTATTGCTAAGTACGTGATAATTTTCAGGCGCTACCACAGAAATATTGAAAGTTGCTTTCAAATGAGGCTCATCGAAACAAGGAAACAGTCTCCGTGCAGCCACTGGTTCTAAATGTGTAGCTGCCAGCCATCTAAAAGTAATGTAATTGTTACAATGACAACTTACACTTTGTTGAAATTTATAATTTTAAGTATGCAAAATTAATAATGCCTTTTCTTGTCCTGAATATCATATGAACTTCTGTAAAATCCTCTCATTTCGGTGTTCAAGTTACCAGTATATGTAATAGTTATGTTGATGAATGTTTCTTCTCTGAGAGTAGATTTTAGTTCAATCACGTAAAAGTGATACTGTTCCTCATAAAAGGTATTTATCACATTGTACATCTCAACCTTTTCGCCATACGATGAAATAAACAGATTCTTTTCGTCAATTTTTAACTGGTCAGAGTGCAACACGATTTTTTTTGTTGCCACTTGAATTTTAGCTTCAATTTCAACCCGCCCCTCAAAAATGAAATCTGGTTCAAATTTTGGAATTAGATTAATGGAATAAGACTTGGGAACTATATTGGAAGGTAATCGATAATGAGAAGTATTTTCTTCTGTTTTTTTTTTTATCCAGTCAATTATTATGGAGGAATGTTTGTTGAACCATTTAAGTTCAAAATTTGCTAAATTAATACTTCTACGCATTAATCCTTTAACTGTTTTAAAATGATTTGGATTGCTGCTCATCATTTGTTTGACTCGATCGATAAATTTTTTAATCGGATATCTTTTCAGCACTCCCGAAACAATTCTTCCAATTTCGTCATAGCTCTTGTAACTAAAGTTCAAAAATTTGTATTATTTGAGAAACCTTTTTTCTCATACTCAACTATTTTATTTAAGTACTGAAAATGAAGGAGTTTTATTACTTACTATTGTTCAATGGCTTTAAAATGTTTTTCAATAAACTCTAAAATGTATTCGGCCCCTTCTAAATTTGAATAAACTGCACTAAATGTGGTTGATACATCTTGCTTATGAATGAGACTTTTTGTGTAGTTTGTGTTTAAAACATTCAACAGATATCTGAAATTATTATGATTAACTTGTACATCTGATTGTAGATAAAAATAAAGTTTTTTGTATATAGCACCACTAACTTTTCAAGTTTTGAAGTATTTTTCGTACACCCAAGTGCATCCAAAATAGTTAACTGTTCTGTTGTGACCCTCGAATTTTTATACTCTTCGTATAGAAATTCCCAATCTTCATCAGAGCCGTATTTGATAGCTGCACAATAAGCAGCAGGTCTTTGGTTCTTGGGAATACTTTCATGAAAAACGTGTATATTACTAATTGTTAAATCAATATTTACTAATAATGTAATAAGAAAGAAATTACGGTTTTTTATCATTTTTCCAAATGTGGAAATATTTTTTTGAACGAGCAACGCAGTCATATACATCAAAATTACATGCTACTTGGTTAATTTTTTGACGTAACAATATATCCAAATGGCCATCGGTCTTACTATCATCATATGTCAGTTTTTTATAAATATTTGAATATAAGGAAATTACATATTCCTAAAAGTAAAGAGAAGTTCAGACATGAATGGTAAACCTTACCATTAGAACATTCTGATGTTTCAATCATGTGTTGAAACTTGTAACTGAGTTAGCAATAAAGCATTACCTTGAATAATTTGTAATCGGGACTAGCAGCAAATTTATTAATTAAATAATCTAAAGACATGAAAGCTGATTTAAACGGTACGTATTCGGTCTCTCTTTTAAGATATTGCAAGGCACTTAAAGCAATATCGTAACTGACGATCTCTGCTCTGGCAAAGTTCAGTAGATCATCTACGATAGCCGCTCGATTAAGCACAGGTATTTTCGATATATCTCCTTTTTTTAACACATGAAAAATTTTTTTCCATGACTCATTATCATAAAGAACGCGATAAAATCCTGAAATAGAATCCGATTTGTAGACCATCGAGTTTATTGATGTATTTTAACCTGAAGATGATGTAACTTTGTTTTTACCAACCTGTCGAGTTTACATTGAAGATCTGCCATTCAATTTCATTGCTCTCATATTCTACTGTAATTTCCGTTTGATTCAACCAAAATTCCAATTTAGACGGTGGTTTCTCGGATGCAGACGATATCCAAGTTATTGGTATATGCCAAATCGTTTTGTCATTCGCTTCGGTCGAATTGTAAAGGAGAAAGCGTTTTTGAGTTAAAGTAATGTGATCTTGCTTCATGTCTACTTTTACATATGGGAATCCATTCTTTTCAGTCCAAGATTTCATACATTCGGTTACATTAATGCGATATTTGTCATCTTCGAGCTTCTCGTCGATTTCTCTTTGAAGAGCTTTCCACAAATCTTTTGGTGTAACATTTTTAAATTTGCTACGAAAATTTCAGTGATTAATTTAAACCCTACTCGACTTAATAACTGTTGCTATCAGATAAGATCTATTGTATCTATTATTTTCTGTTTTAGTTTACATACTTTTGTTGCAAGTATTTACGAAGAGCAGAATCAAACACTTCAGACCCAAAGGTTTTCTCGATCATTCGCAAAATACTTGCTCCTTTACTGTAAATTAATGAACCTCTATTTTCTACAACGTTGAATTGAGTTGAAACACTCCTCGAGATCAGATTATAATATTCGGAGGCATCACGACTCATGGCCAATTGATGCTGTTCAATGACAAATTGTTCTTCCATTTGCCATGTATTTTCACACTATTGCTCGTACAAATAAAATATAAAGTAAATATGTACTTAAAAAACGATACCTAGCTACAAAATTAAAAATTACACTTTACCCGAGCTGTAACCATGTATTGGTAATACGTGGCAAAGGCTTCGCTAAGCCAGATAAATCTCCACGAACTTGGGGTCACAAGGTTGCCGAACCACATGTGAGAGCACTCGTGCACAATGACAGAGGCAATCGTCTGCTGGGCTTCATTCGTCGTATGATCCTCGTCGTACAACAAGGTGGCTTCGCGAAACGTTAAAATGCCATAATTTTCCATTGCTCCAGCGTATTCAGTAAAATCTGGCACTGCTACCAGATCCATTTTTTTTATGGGGTATTTTTCTCTCAGTATCTTGTCCAAGACTTGCATACTCTTCAAAGCAATGTCTACTGCGTAATCCGCTTGCTTTGAAAGTTCTGGACGTGTCCAAACGCTTACAAACGATTTTGTTTTATTTTTAAAATCCGAAATTACGAAAGCTACCAGATACGTTGACATTGGAACGGATTTTTCAAAAACGCAGAGTTCGCTGTAAGTACGATTAAGTTTAGATTAAGAATGATGTTAAAAAAACTACCAAAAGTGGAGTGCGTAAAACATACTCGGTAGATTTTGTTGATAATGGCATGTTGCTCAAACAGTGATACCCTTTTGGAAAATTTGATTTTGAAATACCAATGGTAAAGTTTGCTTTCCACGCCGGTTCATCGAAACATGGGAATGCCCGTCTGGCGTACTTTGTTTCGAACTGCGTTGCAGCGACCCATCTGTAATAAAAGTTGAAACTCAAAACTACCCACCAAAATATAGCTATACCAACCAGAATAATCAATAATTACCTTTCTTTGCCATTCTCGTCAACGTATGTACTTCTGTAGAATCCTAACATGTCGTCTCCCAAGGGCCCATTGTACGTTAAACTTATGTCAATCTTGCTACCTTTTTGTAGGGCTTCCGCAAGGACATAGGTTTCTATTTCGGTTCTCTTGTTGTAACTTGAGTTGATTGGTCGTGATTCTTTGCCCGCATGGACACTGATCGAAACCATCGTCACGATTAAATTAGATCCTCTGTGCAGCTTAATTTCTTTAGTCGTCTCAACTACTTGCGCAGTTATTGTGACCCGACCGTCAAAGTTTTTACCATCGGAATCGAGTTGAAAGAAAATGTCGTAAGACTCTGGCTTCAAAGATTCGGGTAGTCGGTAGTTGATGTACTCCCATGCGATTTTTGTCTCATTTTGCTTTGAGATGTCCAATATTTTTGAATCTTGTGAGCATGGCACAGCGATAATCATCACCGTCATCAGCGTCAGCAGCAAAATGATTGCATACAATGTTTTGGAAGCTTTCGGCATCTTGGTTTTTCTTGAAACGTTAACGAAAGATACCCACAATTTTATAATTTTTCTAACTCACAAATCAACTGATACGCGGCAAAGTCATTTTAACTGTGCTTTTGACAAGAGTAGCAAACTCCGATGTATTTTTACTCGCCAAACGCGACTTCAAAATACGTAATTATTACTCCGTCACATTACATTGTGTAAGCCTTATACAAAGAGTTATGATGTTATGGAACAATTTGAGTTTTGAATTTGTATTGAGGAAGTAAAAAAATAACTACCGGAAACAAATTTCAAAGGCGATGTTTGTGTTAACATTTTACGCATAGTAGTGGATAATCCGATAATATAAGACAATCTAAACACATTTAAGTGTATCAATTTGAAAACAATGACGAATTGAAATTACGTGCATCATGGGTAAATAAGATTTGTAATAAAAATGTAAAAGAATTTGCTTTAAATATTTGTTTAAGTAAATCCAAGCAAGTCCTATAACGATCAATGAAAATATTGCGAAATATTTTAAGTTCTTCAAGTTTAAGCGTACCCAGAATCTTTTAAAAATGTGAGATGAAATTAAAATTATCACGTAGAGTTGAGTTCTTCCATCACAATACAACGGTAATAATTGAAACAATTTCGAATGTCCTTACTGTACTTATAAGCTGCAAACGAAGGAAAAATCGGTATCAGCGATCCCAGGCCATTCTGCAACGCCACCAGCTCCCTCGAAATGCACAACTCTGCGCGAAGACTCGTCTGGTACTGTCCACGCTCGCCAACCGTCCAAGCGATTCTCAAAAAATCATCCAAGTCGAGCGTTCATTTCCATTTGAAAATACAGGCTGCTGAGGAAAAGGAAAGGACGATGACACTTGCTGGCACGCACACGTGCAATTAACGCACACTACACCTACACACACAGAACACTCTTGAGCACTCGGACGCGCGGGTATCACGGCGAGGTTTATTGCTCTAAAAGCCTTTTTAGATCGACACGTCTTCTTTACGGATTTTAGTGGCAAAGCCAGCTTTCTTTGTCTAATTTCCATTTTTTTTTTTTTTTCCAACTCTCGACCTTATCATTTTACCGCACTTCGAGTGTCTGGTCTTATTGTATGTACACGTACTTCTTATTGCAGTTGTTTATCAAAGATTTGAATTATATTTTGTTGAATGCTCTTAACTTCCTTCGATTATTGATTTTTGATCGACGTATTGACCATTTGATGTTGAGATAGCGAAATCAACACTGTATTTAGAGATACATATTGTACGTATAATTATGATAAAACTTTGCACGATGAATCGTGAACTCTTTTTCAATTTCATCATGTAGTTTATTAGATACAATTTTTTTCCAAGATATTTCGCTGATGGACTCTGAATTAAAGGCCAATTCAGTGTAATAATAATAATAATAATAATAATAATAATAATAATAATAATAATAATAATAATAATAATAATAATAGTAATAGAATTTATGTTTTACAGTTAATTAAACCTGTTACTTGACTTGATTCTTATTAGCTATTTAGTCAGATATCCCATTCTTTTTTTGTCAAATTAAAAACTTGAAAAAAAAAAAATCTAATAAGAGTATATATTAGCTTGTCCAGGTTTTACAAAACAGGTTTGGTTTACTGACATTATGGTTAATGTTGATACTTATGCTATTAAAGTGTGTATATAAATAAAAGTTGGTGATAAAAACCGTATTGTAAAGCACCGAGTAAAAGTGAAAAATTTTTTATGTTAGGATGGTGATTTAAGCAATATAATTTAAACAAAAAATGAAATATATTAATGAAAACAAATTTTTTTTTACATTTTAATACATATGTACAATTGTAATTTATTATTATAGATTATAATGATAAAACATGTATTAAAAGATATATATGTTTAGTTTGTAACAAAAGAAACTCGTAACCTTTACATACTATATTTGGTTCAATGCCACGAAACGCATCAGTGAAGATTAAGCAATGCTCTCAATGGCATTCTTAGAGAAATCTTTCCTTGTTAAATCTGAAATTTCTGCTTTTAAAATAAAATAGACTTCAAAACATTTTTTTTACGGTTTTTCCTACTCAACAGTTCTTTGTCCTTCAAATTTTAAATACCCAATTGGACAGACGTGATGTACTTAATTCTATCGCAACGTAAACAATACATACTACATAACTTAATTAGATACACCTTTAAATTTTTGCTCATTAAAATCCTAAAAAAAAAAAAAAAAAAAAAACCTGTATGAAGACAAAAAAACGCTCTAGGCAGGACAAAATTGATCTTATGTTGTAAAAATTCAAGCTGGTAATCGTTGAATCAGTAGAAATTTGGTAAAAGGCTCTTCCAAGAGTGGCCATATAATTTATTATATCAAACAAAGGATAAAACTTCAAGGTATAAACTATTTCACAAAAGTTGAATCAATAAAATATAACATTTCGATGACTAATATTCTTCATGTGATTAATCCAAGAATAATTCCAGTGCGAAGAAAGTGAATGGAATTCTTATCACGTAATAAGTAAATATTTTTATGAGGAAAAGATAGCGGTTGAATGATAATAGAACTCGTATGTATTTTTCATTGCAAAAATTTGAAATTTGGTTATCTACAAAAATATTGTGCAAGTATTGGGTATTTGTTTTAACAATAAAAATGGCAAAAAAACTCGTGTACGGAAAAAAAGTTCATACAAATTAATGATGAAACTATGTTCAACGTGACGCAGCAAAAGATAAGCGATAAGTTAATTTTTATACTGTAGATCTGCTAGTCATGTGAAGATATAAAATGATAGCTCAAAGCCCGTGACTAGGTTTTTAAATTTGCTTTGTAGAAACTACCCAAGACTCTGGCTCCAGCTTCGTTAATTTCTTCAAAGCCACACTTCTCCATGGCCTTTTTGCAACGCTCGTACCAAGTTGCAACATTGTCGTATCTCTCTATGTCAAAACCAAAAGCCTGAAAAATATGTTAAATTGTCTTTTAAACATGCAGTTACAAATCTTCTAAAAATACTATTGATGTTTTAGAAACTACTTTTCAACACAATTATTATTTTATTTATTGATTATTTTTAGTTTTACAGCATCGTGTACAAAAATAGTCAAGTGATTTATATTTCTTGGAATTAAAATAAAAACCATTTATGGATGGCCGTAAAAAAAAGTACACAAATGTCTAAAATAAATAAAAAATATTCACTTGTACACTTTAATTTCACGGTATACTTTTATTTTAACCTGTAGCTGTTGATTCGTCAATGAAAATTATTTATAAAGCTTGTCTTGAAGTCATACCTTTGCTGAGCTCACTGAACTTGCAATACTAAAATCGGCTACAGTCAAAGTTTCACCAGCAACAAAATTGCTATCCTGTAGATATTTGTCGAGAAGCTCGAAAGCGCGTTCCATTGGCGGTAAACACTGTTCAGGAGGTGCATCCATTTTACCAAATATTACCGGAGCCTATCAAATTCACAATATTTTATGTATCTGTGCATTCAACTCCAGTTTTTAAATAAAAAAATATACTTCATACCATGTACGAAAAATTCATACGTTTGTGCTCGAGTTGTAAATGACAATTTTTGTACCGAGGGTGCAAAGAGTGCGGTTTTTGCGCCCACCAATCACTTTATGTCCTGGGGTGGGCGTGTATACAATGTGGAAGCAAAGTGGTAAAATCGACGTGCTCAAAGGACGAAAAGTACGAAAAAAAAGTTGTGATTATTTGGAAGAGTCATGAATTTGGTCACTTCATCTGACAATACTAACGTGGTACGTGATGATGCTGTCATAAAGTATACCGATGTCAAAGTAGAGTCGATGCTCGACGACACTTCGCTGTTTCGGATCCCTTGGGTAAAGTGAGTCATTCTTTGCGTACTTCATCACCAGATAAGTCATTATTGGACGGCTGCAGGCGTTACACACTCGTAAACTATTTTTAACTATTGTTTTACGGGATTACGAATGTTTTAGTGCTTAAATTGTACCTTTCCCATAAAATAAAGCCATTGTCATCGATGGTCGGTATTGTATGTTGAGGATTCATCTGCAAAGGATCAAATGTAAGCATCAAATAAAAACTTGTTAATTTTTGAAGAAAAAAAAAAAAAAAAAAAAAAAAAAAAAAAAAAAAAAAAAAAAAAAAAAATCCTTGATCCCGAGATATATTTGTATATGCTGCACGGCTAAAAAGGTGAACGACCGGTACGGCGCTCAAGTGCACGTCGCACGGACGCTTGTAAACGTAAACGCGGATTGCACGGGTACCTTCTTGAAGGAAGATTTCAGCTGCTCTCCTTTGAGAACGTTGACGACCTTGAGATTAAAGCGGACGCCGAGGTGCTTGCCCAGCATCATGACGGAGCGACAAGGCGGGCTCGGCGGTAAGTAGTAAAGATCTATTGTCATTGTTATACCTAGCCGGAATCTAGAACGTGATGTTACTGCATAATAAATGCGTGGGTATATTTGCGTGCGAAACGAGGGTACAGCTGGGCAGGATCGATCCATCTACCTTTAGCTTACCGCAAATATAGCTGTGCACGAGAGAGAGAGAGCGGGGAAAGAGAACGAAGGGGTAGGGGGAGAACCGATGTTAATGAGGGACGAAGAGCTGGATGAGAAAGAAAGAGATGGACGATCGGTACGGGCCGAAATTTATGTTAAATGCCGTGGTGAAACACTAAAAGCTCGTATCGCGCTGAGTTATTGCGTACTCTCTTGCGCCTCTGCATGGTCGATTGCGTTCTCTGTTTATCCTTGGCGCTTAGGCCACGCCATGGGACTTTTTGCTGAGCTTTGGGTGACTTTTCCAACGATAATTTACTCACAACAAAAACTTTAACTGCCGTATCGGAGAGAAAATATTTTTGCATTTTTGCAACATTGGCAATCTTGATGATGAGTATCCGATAACAGTATTTAAACTATGTATACGGATATAATTCATTTATAAAGTATCATAGGATTCGATTCCGATGACACTTGTTTTTTTTTTTTTTTTTCCATCGATATAGAAAATGCTTTGAATACTCATAGTAGACGTGTAGTGCAACATAGTGCAGAATAAAAAAATGTGCGTGATGAGCGTGTCAAATAAAAAAACAAAAGAAGCATAATTAAATTTATCTCAAAAAGTAACGCTAAGTCCTATTAGGACTGCAATTTCTACCTTCCCAAGTCGCGACTCTAAAAAAAACTGGCTGCACCTTCGAGTTGGAAGTAATCGCGTTGCTCCGCGCAAATAAGACCAGCAAAACTAAAGCAACTTGACAGCGACGTGTCGCGCCCCGATCCAACGCCACTCCGTAGCCATGGCGATGGTGACAAACAAAGTGCGCGAATGATTAAACGCGATTGAACATTGTCGCAATTTTTTTTTTTTTTTTTTTTTTTTCTTTGTGCTGTTCGGTGACAAAACGTCTATCTTTTGTATTCAGTACGATTTAATTTTTCTTTTTTTTTTTTTTGGGGTGAGTATGTGTGAATGTCTTATAATTTGATAATGAATCGAGGTATATCAATATCATTATAAATTTTTAGATAGGTTTTCCTGGCTGGTGTTAAATCTCGATCATAAATCAACATTGAAAATAAATGTAACTCAAGCTGTATTTTATATGAAAAAAATATTTATTTATTTACATGTACATGTATACAATGCGTATAGTATTTTGTATTTGTCGTAATAAGTTAGACATTACATTGTTTTATTAAAAAAAAAGAGTGATAAGAAATGCATTTATTTATATTTTCCAGTTATTTTTGTGGTGTAACAACTGTCACCAATTTTTATTATAAAACATTGAATTCGATTCAACAAGTATATACTTAAGTTCAGATCACATGCATTCAAACACAATTTCTTATTTGTATCTGAAAAAATTATTTCGAAGGACAGTTGCCAACTTTTCAGATTTTTGAAAGTTAAAATTCATCAAACATCGGTAAAAAACAATAAAATCAAATTCTTTTTTCCCATCGAGTTCCTCTATTAGAAAAATCGAAATAATAAAAAAAGAGATAAAACGACGGCCAAATTAAATTTTTTTGCAGAAGTAATGAAAACTTGAGACAAAAAAATGCATGTCTACTAAAAATCAATGAAGGAAATATTTGTCGAAATGATTGATTTTGAAAAATCATAAAAAACTAATACAAAAATGGGTTGCCCACTTATTGTCACGAAGACTCCTAACAAACTGTTCTTTTAATATTTGTTGCTTAATGTTATGTCAATTTTAAACATACTTAATATTTTATGATGTACATACATACTGTAACATCCACACATATACATTAATTTTTTTTTGTCCAAACACGATTTTTTAGAAAAAATTCTTCAGATACTCCAACAAAAAATATGATTAAACAGAGATAAAAAGCTTAAAAAAAACTTACTATGATAATAAACTTTTACAGATCGAAGCAATCGAAATGGAAAAGAAAAAATTAGTGTAAAAAAAGGTGTCTCTTTAATAAATAATGAAAATATAAAAACTTCCTTCTTGATGAGGCAAAAATCTACTGAACTGTCCAGGTTTTTTTTTTTATTACGTACTTTCAGTTTCAAGCGTTCGACTGAGATGGAGTTTAGCCTGTCAATGTAAATGTGCTACGCAACATTAAAGTTGATATAAAAAACTATCATGCTCCAATTTAAACATTTCACACGGTGAACGCTACAACATACAAAAACATTATAACGCACAGTTATCCTAAACCTACGTACTTGATCTCTAAAAAAAATCTACTTTTTGCGCTGGAAGACAATGTAAGTTAATACCGATCGGGTTCATATGAAATATCAATAAAATCTGCATTGACGCATGACCAAAAAAATCTGTGCAACTGCACATTTCATGATTGCATTTGTCCTTGTGGGTAGTGGTATTATTGTTTATAGTTTCAAGAACTTTTCTTCAGCCACTTTTGGATGTTTCCATGATTACGCGTCATCCATCTGATGTTCGCCTCCGCTTGCTCGATAGACTGCTCCACTGCTCGCGTCGCGCTGCCCAGCTCTTCTTTGTGCTCGTTTGCAAACTCGAGCAGCTGAAAATAAATAGTCAGTTACAAATATTTTTTGGAGACACGGTTTCAGTTTGGGTCAAGTACAGATGATTCGATCAGTGGATGAGTTTTCAATTTTCACGCGCCCAAGCGTGCACAGTGTGAAAAAATGTACTACAAGTGCAGTCAATAAAAAAGATCAATTCTAAGATGGTAAAGAAATAATAATATTTGCCAATTAAAGCTTACAGTCTAAAAAACGATGTTAATTTTTTTCAGACATTATTGGAGGCTGGACCACATAATTGGAAATAACTTACGTCTTTGAGCTCGTATTTGGTATTTATACGTTTCGTAGAGGCCTTGACGATGTTGTTGATGGTGAGCAGCGAGGTGCCGAAGCTACGGGGCAAAAACCATAGCGTTAAGCAACAATAATCAACAAAAAACAAAAAACAAAAAAAAAAAAAAAAAAAAGTCCACCAATGATAAACTCACTATTCCCGCAGCCGGTCCCAATTGTTTCTGAAGTAGTTGAAAGTCAAAGACTGGCCGATGATGTTGCCGGCCACCGAGCTGAAGACCCTCGTGACGTCCTGCTTCCTGATCCCCGAGTTCTCGGTGAGCGCCCAGTCGAGGTACCTGCTCAGCAGCCACGTCTCCCTGGTACAGCCGAGCGCCTGCAGCAGCAAATCCTTCTCGGAGCCGACGTTCGTCTCCCTGTAGCGCTGCCAAGTGAAGTTCCACTCGGGCTCGCCGCCCATCTTGATGGCCGTGCAGTACACGACGCTCTTGAGGTTCGGCGAGATCGGATTGTCCCGGTTGGGATCGGCAGAGTCCCGCCAGCTCCCGAACTGCTGGATGGCGTTTCTCACGCAGTCCTCGTGCCCGAAGCCGCACGCCCAACTGAGCACGTCGATGCGCGTAAACACCTTCAGCTGCGGATCCTCCGGGATGTCCTTGAAACCGACCTTGTTGTACACGTTGTGCAGAAGCTTCAGGACAAACACCTGCCAAACATCGAAACATACATTTTATCATGTGTAATTTTTCTTTCCCACCAACTACCGTGTTCTCGCGGATCAATGGTATACGCGGTGGATTTTACCCGGAATTTGTCGTAGCCCTGCGACTTGACGAGCATGTTGTCCATGAAGCTCATGGCGTTGAAGAGCGCCTTCCATGGCAAGTACTCGGTCTCGTTCACGAGGTACGAGGCGACGTCCAATGCCGTCGCGTACTCCAATTGTTCGGCTCTCGCGAGATTCAAGGCGTCGTCAACGAGTTGGGCTCGGTTTATCGTTGATATGCTCCTGTAGTTGTTCTTCAGCTGCTTTATTATCAACTGCCAATTGGCGTTGTCGTAGTTCACGCGATAGTACCCTGTTGATTAAATTTGTTTTTTTTTTCATACGCCATGCATGGTATTGTCGGATTGTATATGTATATACCTGTCTCCAGGACGTTGAAGATGAGCCACTCCCGAGAACTCGCGTCGATGTTCTTGATGGACACGCTCTTTTCCGCCTTCATCCACACGGCTGGCTTGGTGTCGTTGAAATTGAGTTTGTTGCTCGTGGTGTAAGTGAGGGGGATCCACCACAGCGGCTCCCTATCCCGTTTCGTGCTGTTTTGCAGCATGAATCGTGTCTGCAGGTATATGGAACGAGAGGACACGTGTGACAATTTTCACATACCCGTGGTAAAAAGTGTTGTCTCTGTGTGTGTGTGTGTGTGTGGGTGTGTGTGGGTGTGTGTACCTGGGTGACGACGGCCGAGTTGTCGTTGTAGTTTCTGAGGACCGTGACCACGGGAAAGCCGGTCTGGAGGGTCCACGTGTCCATGATTTGCTTGATGGTCACGTACTTTTCGAGCACCCCGGCCCTGTGAGCCTGCTCCGTCAGGGCTTTCCATAGGTCGTCCTGCTCCGCGCACTGGTACGCCCTGCAACGATCGATCACCGGATGTAGTAAATAAAAAAAGAAAAAAAAAGAACAAAAGCTCATATATACTTTTCGGTGAGGTAATTGGTCAGGCCCTGCTTGAAGACCTCGGTCGTGAGAAAGTGGTCCATCATGCGGATGATGGATGCCCCCTTGGCGTAGGATATGCGGTCGAATATCTCGTTGATCTCGTCCGGGTGGCCGACCTTGATCGATATGGGATGCGACGACTCGAGGGCGTCGAGGCCAAAAACGTTTTGCAACTCGTGGACGACGAATTGCTCGAGCGGCCTCCAGCTCTCGTCCACCGCGCCGATGCCGATGTTCTCGACGTAGCTCGCGAAGCCCTCGTTCAGCCACAAATCGGTCCACCAGGTCGGGGTCACGAGGTTGCCGAACCACTGGTGGGCGAGCTCGTGCGAGACCACCGTGGCCACCCTCTGCCTGTTGATGTTCGTCGAGACGCCCTCCTGGTACAACATGGCCGTCTCTCTGCAGAGGAAAGCCGGACAAATTACTCACTAGTGTCCCTCAATGGCACTTGGTGATCACAGCCAACCTGTAGGTAATCAGTCCCCAATTCTCCATGGCTCCGGCCGAGAAATCCGGCAGAGCGACCATGTCGATCTTCGGCAGGGGGAACTTGATCTTGAAGAACTCCTCAAAGTGGCTCAGCATCTTCGGGCCGATCTCCAAGCTGTAGGCCGCCTGCTCGATGGCCTCGGCGCGTGCCCAAACGCTCACGTTGGAGGTACTCGAGTGCATGGCCTTGAAGTCCGACACGATAAATGCCACCAGGTAGGTCGACATCGGCACCGAGCGCTCAAAATGGTCCCACACGTAAGTGGGCAGCCCGGACCTGCGATATAATTGCGGTTTTTTGTTTTTTTGTTGTTGTTTTTTGTCTCGCTGTCCTCTACTATGTATATATACACTCACACGGGCCTGGACTCCCTCTCCTTGGGCATGTTAGAGATGGCCGTCATGTTTCCGGGGCGCGCTATGTTGATCTGAAAACTCGCTTTGAGCCCCGGCTCGTCGAAGCACGGGAATGCTCGGCGCGCGTCCGTCGGCTGAAACTGCGTCGTGGCTATCCACCTGCGGACAATCAAACACATACTATATACGTATTACACTTGGACCCACAAAACACAATTATGGGAGCTAATCTTCGGGGACGCACCTCCTTTCGTTGTTGACGGTGTACGAGCTACGGTAGAAGCCTTGCAGGTAATCGTTGAGATGGCCAACGTACCTCAAATGCACCAGGTAGCTTTTACCAGCTACAAGGGTCTCCTCGGTCTGTATGACGTGGAATTGTCGGGCACTGTCGTTGTATTGGCGGCTCACTCGTATCGAGGCTCTCTTGCCATCAGCTACCACCGGGTATGGCTTTACGCTCGTAAACGACTCGTCGATCATCATGTCGACCGCGTGCAGCGTCACCTTCTTCGTACTTTCCGTCACGTTAATCACGATTTTTACCTTTGAACGTTGTTATTTCATCGCAATGATTGATCATATATGTTATGAGAGGGGGGGGGGTGTGTGGGAGAGCAACGTTTACCCACCTCGCCGTTGAAGGTGAAGTTTCCGTCCCAGATGAAGGGGGTGAGCCAGAGCTCGTAGCTGTCAGGCAACACGGAGCCGGGCAGTCGGACGTCGAGCTTGTCCTCGTCGTGGTCGCCAAAGCTGCGCCCGGACCGGCTGGTGGAGCCGCTACTCCTGCCAAAGCCGCGCTCAGTGGGCTCGCAAGGAGCAAAGTGGTAGATGAGCAGGCCCGTGATCAGGACGGCGCTCGCAAAGGCCAGGCATATACCGAGGCCGCCGCACCGGGTGACCGTGCACCCTCTACGCTGGCCGAAGGTCGTCGCTCGCTCGTCCATGCTCATCGCGCCCAGAGACTTGGTCATGCCTCCTCACTGGATGGACGAGTACAATCGTTAACGTGTGTGGATTTTTTTTTTTTTTTTTTTTTTTTTTTTTTTTTTTTTTTTTCTGATGGGGCTAACAGTAAAGACAACTGGTCGATCCATGTTACATAGGGATTTGAGAAAAATAAAGACAATCGCGCGCATCATGCAAGACTGTATGGGCTTTCGCGTAAATTGTGCAGCTCGGCTTTTTTTATTTTCATTTCGCTACCCACGTGCGACGAATTTAATTTTTCGGGTCTTTTGTAACTCCAATGTCGCCCAGGGACGTTCAAAGCAAGCGATACGTAGGATAGACATGTATATGCACTCGTATCAAGGACCCAATTTAATTGTGGAGCAATGTTTTCAACGCGGGCCAACCAGGCCCCAAGACACGGTAAACTTTCAAGAAAGTCGGAGCGAGGGCCAAACGCTCAATAAAATATATATGTTTGACAAACACGGCACGTGCCGTTTACGTATAGCTGGCATTCATAACGAAGCGTACAAGTATGTTACCCATGTGCTAAACAACGGCGACGGAGAAGCTCAACGGGCCATCAGATCGTGACGCCTTGACCGATTCTGATATAACGAAAAACACCGCTGCGAAGGCTAATCGAAGCTAGAAATTATCTTGATTCACAGGTCGCGTTGATGTTAACGCCGGCTCGCGTATGGGTATATACCTATAGTAAGTTTGGGCATGAAAAGCCTAGCGTCCAAAAAGACGAGAGGAGGAGGAGGGGACAGAGAGCGCTCAAGTAATTTATTTTATAGGCAGCGATGCTTACGTCTGCCTGTCACGCAACCGGTTTCAATCGTGAGCCCGTGGCACTGGTTTTCTTTTTTTTCTTTTTTTTTTTTTTTAACTTATTATCAAATATTAGGTTGTTTTTTTTCTCTTTTTCACTCCATTTCTTTAGGTCTATGGATATCCACGCTTATCGAGCAGTAACGTCTTTGTCCCTACACTATATCACACGTACGTTCGCACGTAAAGGTATGTCTTTTCCATAAATTATACACACGGTGATGATAACCAGGTGAAGGTGATACAGGTGTATAGAAACCGGCACGTGCGCCGGGAATTATTAAACGTAATTGACCGACGACGCGGGAAAGTCGAGCACGAAAAACTAGGAGGAAAAAAAAAAGACGGAGCCGACATGTCAAGGAAATATAAACAGTACGGTTGTAAAGGTGTCAAATCAATATGATGAAAACCCGATGGAAGTTATAATGAAACAGCGTCATGGAAACTGTTTAAGCGCATACTTTTCCACGTCATGGTAATATTATTCTTCAAGTTGAAGCATTTGATACTTCATTTTCAGAGAATATGACTAAAATGGCTCGAAACAATCGTAAGAATGAGTACTATTTGTAGTAAAAAAAAACTCGTCCAAACAACGATGGATGAAAACAACTTAAAAAATGTACAGTGACTTCAAGAATGAAAAGGAAATAATAAAAAATAAATGTCCGTAATACTAATATTATTTGGAAATATAAAAACATTTATTTATCTGATCTACTGATTGCTATTCTAATTATCTTTGTCTTTAGTATTTTTTGTGATTTTAAGGCAACCGCAGTAACCGTTGGTCATGGGAGCGGTATTCGTATTAGCCGAGAACTATGTCAACAATTTGTAAAAACACCTGCTGACCTTCATTACCATTGATATTTGTGCGCCACTGAATGGATTATAGCTTCTACTGCGAGGGTCTTTTGTTAAAATATAAATCCGTAAAAAACTTTCTCGATTTAACGAAATACCAGTAAAATATTAAACATTAACCTGTGAAATGTTATATTTTATATATCATAACGGTCTCAACGAGATTTCAAAAGCATCGAGTCATATTTTGTTTTTCCACCTATTGTTAATATTTTGCTAAAGATTCGATGGGAAAGGAAACTTCACAAGTACTTGTAAATATAAGCATTTACCTGAAGTGTACACCAGTCAAATTAACTTTGCAAAAGTTAAGTATAACTAACTGAAGGAGCACAAAAACTTGGAACAATCAATAGCCATCAGTTTGGTCCATGCGATATGTGCCCCACTAAATTCAATCGAAATAATCAAACACTACGAGAAAACGTAACTATATCCTACATTATCTTCACGCCGTGACCGCTGAGCCGCAACTGTCTTCAAACCTCACTCCCTGACACTTGACCAGCTTATTCGTATGCTCGTTCTCTCCCTCCCTCCCTCTCTCTCTCTTTGATGGTACTTTGGATGGTACCATGGGTGCATTTGCTCAACTCTCTTTCTATCTCTCCGTAGCTGCTTATTACTCGTTACCATTACATCTTGGTTAACACAGCTTCTCAATGTATACACGTAAGGTATAATCAACCGATTGCCGTGGTGTTTTCGAACAATTGTTGGGAGTATGTTGTTTGACGATTAACAATTTTTCGTCACAGTTTTAAACATTTTATTTACCATTACAATAATCTATCGTTAATTCCATCATAATCACCTCCTGCTTTGAATCATCACATTGTAATATATCAACAATATAATATTGTTTACGTTCACTTGAATGTTCATGTCAAATTAATTAATTTTTTTTTTTTTTATTTACCTATTTATTTATTATTTTTTTATGATTACTTTTATAATAAATATTCGTTTTGTAGTATCTAAATCAAATTTTTAATATTATAATAAACAATATTTATTTTTTAAAGCACATTGTTTAAGATAACAATGTCGTAAGCTTTTATCCTAAAAATTTGCTTGGTCATTATTCTGGTATCAACAAAAGACGTTACTTTTGAAAGCTAGCATGATGCAGTATTTAAATACCATTCAAGCCATTTAATAGCAAAACGACAACACAACATCTATTTTCTCTGAACTTTAAGAATATATTGTTTCAAACATCAACAAAAGTCAGTATATTTAAATAGAATTTGTCGAGCACGAACATCAGATGTTAAAGGCGTAAGTGACTGTGATTGAATAATAATAATAATAATAATAATATAATCAATCTGACAGGGTCGTTTATAAGTAAGTATGGGCTGCGCAAACAGATACCGATTAGCCTCTCTGCAATAGTCAAACAGTGTCATCTTGTAACTCTTTGATTTTGCATACCAAAAAAATTGAGGTCTTTCTCTAATAATCTAATTCCTCAGATGCTTGGTGAGAAATTACGTTTTCATAACATTAATTTATTGCGAATTTCATTTCTTAATTTGCTAAAGTACTTGAATCTTTATAAGACATTTACTGAGACATTTACTATTGTATTGGAAAAATGTCGTTCACAACACAAGTGCTCTACAATTTATTAGAAAATGAAGCAAGTCGTCAAAAAAAGTAGACGAGTTCTGAAAAAAAAAAATTGAATGGCAGTATTTTTATTTTGTTATGAAAATTATTCGTGTTTATTTTACAACTGTATGAATCGTTTTGTTTTATGGAACTAAAATTTTTACACATCAACATTACATAAGGCTAAGTAAATATTTAATTCCCATCACATATTTAAATATTCACCCCATTTTCGTGGCGTATGTATACATTCATGATTTATCATTTGAGTAATGTTAGGTACGAAATAAAATTTGTAAATACTTCATTCAATTGAGGTGCGTTTTTTAGATGAAACAAAAAACATAGCATGAAAAAAAGGACGCAATAAGTTGAGAAATAATGTTGAATTAATTTCATCCCTATTTCTTAGTTAATAGACTTGAGCGCTATTATGCGTAATCAGCTGACCTGCCACTTTCGATCGTTCTTTACCATGTTATTTGGACTAAAATCAGATACGTCAAGTACACAGTATAGTTAAGCTTGTGCTACATTTTGACCCATTAATGTAGATAAAGATCAAAGTTAAAATAATACGTACTGTGTGCTTTTGTACAGTCACACTACCCTAATAAAAAAAGGATGTCCAGTAATTTGTACCTGTATATTAGCAATTCTACAAATAAATAATGTTTTTAATTACTGAAATTGAAAACAAAAAAAAACCTTTTTTAAGTACATCGTACAGTTATAGATTACATTTTTCGACACATGAGAAAATTTATAAACTTTCAGTAAATTCGATGCAACGCCATGTTTTCAATATTTTAAATTTTTGGTTTAATTTTGCGAATACTTATTAAAAAAAAATTTTTTTTTAATCACGGATTCCCTTATATTTCTAAAGCATGTAAAAGATCAATGTCTAGATCCGAAAGTGTACCTCAAATAAACTTTTTGCAAATTTTTTGGGATGTCCTAATTAAATAGTTTTTCACACTATTAGCAATATAAAATCTCATTCAAAAATACATAGCAGCATAATTATGTTATACTTATACTTCCATATCGACTGTTTCAGGTTACAGCGAGTGCTCATACACATGTCCCGGTCTAGCGCCACGAGGTGTCGCACTGTCACCGATCTTTAGCTGATGTAACGGCAGCGTCCTTCAGCCAAAAAGGAAATTGCCTCATGGTGTCGCACTTTATGATTTAATTATATCTTATCCAGGATACAAATCTTTTTAACTACATTTATTTCTTTTATTGCTCAAGCAAGCACCCCGACACAAAAAATTATAGAGTATCTCTAGTTAAGTTCTACCGATTTCTTCTTGGAATTATCTTCTGTGTAATATAAACATAAAGGGATTTTAAGTTTTGGATTTTCAACAACTAATTTGATTTTACTCTTCTAGTGATAAATATGTACGTGTATATGTAGATAATATGAAACATAGGAATGTTAGAAAACGATATGTAATAAATGTTTTGAACAATGGTTAAGTCAATAAAATCTTTAAACCCTAAATCAATAATTTTCCAATTAAGTTTTAGTCAATTACTTTATGAGTAACATTTTTGGAAATATTCGTAATATTATAACAAACAATACTATGACCCCACGTATTTCAATATGTATCATGGTACGTTACGAAGATAATTTATTCTAATAATATTCTATTAACAATTAAAAGATGAGTGTAATAATTAAGCATATGACTTAAAAATAAAATAATCAAAGTAGTAGTCCAAAAACATTGAAAGTACATTGTATTTTTTTTTTATAGTCTTCAGTTACATTATCTCGTGCGTGTGTCAGTTATTGTGTTATACAATTATGTACACACTGAGGGTTTCGTGATTTCTCAGATTGAATTGTTTTTTTAGCTTACACTCCATAAATAACTTTTTGTAGTAAATCCTACTGATTTTTTAACAAATTTTAAAAATATTATTTGATTTAGTTTAACAACTAAATTGAAACTTTGAAACTTTTTTAAGCAAAGTAACAGTCCTGTGGGCATTATCTAAATAGTTGTAACAGTTTCAAATCAGTGACAATTAAAAAATCTTTTCATGATAGTCTGCAATTTACATCCTAACTATTAAATCCGAATAAAAATTAAACCCATACTTGCTGCCAGGTGTATTTAAATTTCACATTTGAACAATATGGAATTTTCAACAATTTTCAGAAAACTTTTTTTTAATTGTTATGAAATAGAGAGTATAGGAAAAAGCGTATAATTAATAGTTATCTTTAAAATTTCTCAAAAAAATAAAATAAAACTTAGTACGTAATTCTTATTCTACTCAATGTGATCAAGTAATTTTTTAAGCTGATTAACAATTATTATAATAGTTAGAAAAAAATTGTTTTCTAAAATTGTTCAAAATCCTGTGTTATTTAAATGGAAAATCAAAACGCATCTGGTGGCACGTGTTAATTTAATTTTCAAGCAGATTTTATGTTAAAGATTTTCGTCCCAAGCTAATATAAACACATTTCAATGGGTAAACATGATTTAATTTATCATAAAATATATAATTGAACCCAATATTTGAGAAATAGCAGGGGCCATACTGGCCTAACTATTGAATTTTGTCACAAAGCTTCCTATAATACAAACAAATGTTTGAATATTCTTAAAATTTTCAACCACGTTGACTATTATATTCTTGCAAGTGATGAGAAAATATGACACAGCTCGTGCGAAAATTCCACCACGATTTAATCAACGCATCGCCAGTACTGACCAGCAAAGGTCTCTCGAGCAAGTACTTGTCATCCAAACACGTGCGCTCTCCAGGTGCACACATCAGATAAAAAATGGACAGGCAGATCTCATGCGGACAAGTAAGTGTACAGTATGCACCTATATGCACGAGAGCTGCGTGGAAGAAGCAACACTTTTATTCCCGAGCACGAAGGCCGCGAACTATCAAGTAATCCATTTAAGCATATTGGATCACTCGCTTGGGATTAAGATTGACGAATGACCGCCCAAACGAAAGCCAAGCGGCGAAGAGAGCGGAGAAAAATGTCATTCGCACGGATACCTTTTCACCGGGCAGTTCGACTTTCGTTTCTACCTCGTTATTCCTTCTTTTTTTTCCACACCTCTAGTTTCTCATTATTTTTTTTCTTTTTCTCATTATTTTTTTTTTGTTGCCCTTTACCGGGTGAACAACGTCAATGTTGAGGCAGTGTGAAAGCCCAGACGTGCGTGTTGGTCCACGGCAATGCGGACACCATGTGCTCGTCGCCAAGTGCAAAAAAACGTCAGCGTCAAGTAACAGTATAGTCGTTATTTGCTGTATACAATATATCGGCTTGGTGCTTTTTTTCTGTTCGTATTTTTTGCTACTAGGTTAATGAAACACTAAATGTTTAGACTTTGCCATGCGTGAGAATCTATAGAGAGCCAGTGTTCTTGACCATATTGGCAATTTCAATTGGTGAAAATATCCCACTTTGCTGACGCTGTACTGTACGACCTTTTCCTCAATGCACGCAAATAGTATAATACCAATTACGTACTCATCGGCGCATAAAATACGTTTCCAATGTTGGCAAGTTCTATGCATAAGTAATTCAAGTTCAGGGACGTATTCTATCGTTATTAAAACTTTCCTATTTCCGTAGGTATTTTTTCTCTTTTCTCTTGTTCTTTTTTTCCCCCCCATTGAAAATAGAGGGTTTCCAATATTTATTCAAAATTTATTGATTTATATCACTGTGGCTTGCCTTATTTTCCATTTGTTGCATTATACATTTGTGTACACTAAACACGTGATTTGGCAATGATCCTCGAATGTATACCCTTTGAAACGTATATTCAAGTTGTCTTTTACTGAAATATTTTACCTTCTTACTCTTCTTTTGCTTATTCTTCTACTTCTCCCGTTGAACCATAAATAAATGCCTTTTATTTACGTACGGTATTGAGAAAAGAAACCATTTGATTTATTCAGTGTCCTCGCAACATCTTATCAGCTACAAAGCTACACAAATAAACGACTTTTCTGATCTCATTTGCGATTAAATGCGGCGTTTGGAGCTTGAAAAAAAAAAAAAATTACCGTCTTGATAGGCTACGAGATTCCGCTTTACACAACACTCGACATTATATGCAAACTAGGACGCGCGATTAGTATATATAGAATCTAAGCCCGTGATAGCTTGCGAAATAATTTTTTCTTTGACAATTGCACGTACAGTGGCAACGCTATTAATAACATGTACATTTATATCTATGTAGAAGTGGTACCAGCTAAAATTTCCAAGAGCATACTTTATAATATGTTGTCTAAGAAAACTCTATGAGTATTTATCAAGATTTTTGCAGGTAGCAAGTAGCTTTGAAGATAACAAAAGAAAAAAATTTTGCTTAGTTACGAGGCAGCTATCACCTGCCTAGTACCTACTACATACGAACCCTGGAGAATAACATTGTTAGCTCTGATCTCGTCAAGGCAACAAACTCCTTTTTTTTTCCTGGTTACACTTGATGTATTTTTTATCACTATTTTTTAGCCTGTAGTTAGTGACACCAGTAAAATTTTTACTACAGTTATTGTCGCTGTCATTACTATTTTTACACAAGTGATAAAACTACGTAATTACAAAATTTTTCATTAAGATGATATACTACTTTAAAAAATTAATATCCAACAAAGTCTCTTACTGTTAGTCACAAAAAAAAATAATAATAATAACAATTTCGAAGGCACACTTCCGAATGAACATTTTTAACTTGCACATGCCTCCAGACAAAAGTATGAGAAAATTCGTAAATATGAAATCAATACGGAGTGACAGCCCTTTTTTATTTCAAAGCATTTTATCGAGTTTGTGATTATCATTTTATCTATACTATGATAATCAATATTGAACGAAGCCAATTCATTTATAATTGGATTGCAATTACATGGATATTATTCAAATTAAATTTAGAGAAGAATAAAATAATATTAAATGATAAAAATAATTAAAAATAATTTTAGTTTGCAATAAAGCTATACTCATTTATAAT